GTCCTCACAAACTGAAGGAATGCACAGAATTTCGTATGTACCTCAGATATGGTTTCCGAAGTTCAGTGTCTTGCCCCTGAACAGAAAAACTCTTGCTGTTTTCCTCTTCTTGTGAATTTCCTTTCTATGAAGATTCCACAAGCTTCATTAGCATTCGGCTCAGGCTTGTGAGTGGAGGCCCAGTGTGAACCAAACAAGACTTAATTTACATGTAAACAGACCGATAAATGTTTCTTGTCTGAAAGAAAACCCGCTTTTCACCAGTCCTTAGACCTTAAGAACATAATTTTCAGTGTAGGTTCGTAACTCTTTCCACAACACACGCACACGCATTTCACAACAACACTGATGGCCGGTGTGACACCGGCTTTCTGTAGACATCTCACATGACACTCTTTGATGAACCAGAATGTAAATGCCAGACCCCGGAGATTCCTGTAACCCTTATGCACTCTGCCAGTTGGCGCAAGAGCTCACGGGACATCCTTCCAATCGAAACAGACAAGATTGGGGTGGGGAGGAATAGCTCAGGGGCCTGCTAAACCCAGGGTTGTGAGTTCAATCCTTGAGGGAGCCATTTAGGGATCTGGGGCAAAAATCTATTTGGGGATTGGTCCTGCTTTGAGCAGGGTGTTAGACTAGATGACCTTCTGAGGTCCCTTCCAACCCTGATATTCTATGATTCTATGACAGTCAAACATTGGGAGGGGAAACAAAGAGGTGATGCGACTTGCCCAAAGTTACCTCGGTTAGTAGCAGGGCTGGGCCTAGTACCCAGTGCTCTACCCACGGGATCAGCTATTCACTCAATGCCACTCTTTGAGCCATCAGTTAATGTAACTCATAGCTCCCTTGATATCACCACGGTGAATGAGCTGGCATGAAGAACCAGCGCTGCAAATGTCCCAACTGCTGTGGTCAGCCCACTGGACAGCTGTGCCTCTCGCTTGTCCTATGGCACTGAAGAAGTCATAGAAATCTTTTACATTTCTCCTGTCCCAAGCTGTTTATGCTCCAGCCTCCCAGGAACGCAGGTAGCAGCCCAGGAGATCAAAGTACGGACTCTTCAGAGATGGCATTGCCAGATGACTTCAAAGTGAGTACATAGATGTCTCCTGGCTGTCAGTGAGGTGATTAAAACAAACCAGGGAAACCTTGGGTAGTCTGGAGCGATTGTGATTCACTACCCTTTGAAGAGACATCAAGTAGCCTGTGTGAATTGGGCTTGGGGGATTCAGCCAATTCCTAACAGACACATATCCACATCACAGATGTATCACCATCCATAATGGGTAGCTGCTGTTGGCAGACTTGGCAGAAAGGCCAGTAATGGGCATGGGAACTGCACTGTTCTCTCCTACATAAAGGGCCCTGGAGCAGGGTGGCTTGCCTTGGGCTGGACCAAGCCAACCCTGATAACGGGATGAGTCCCGCCTGAAGGGAACCAGGGAATTTCCTGCAGAAGATGACTGCAGTGAGGCGGAAGCTCTGGGGGCTGTAGTGAGACTGCAGGCCCCGAGACCAGGGGAATGGTTGCAGCTAGGAAGGGCTGGGCATAGCTTGCTAAGGCAGGAAGGGCTCTGACCAGGCCGGGGCATTTGGGCTGTACCCCGTTGAGGGGTGTTTAGTTCTGAGCTTTGAGTTAATAAATCAGACCCCTAGGAGGGCTGTTGTGGTTTGACTGGGAAAACCCTGCATGGAGTTTATTTGGGGATCCAAGAGGGGAAACAGAGGAGGGGCCGCATGCAGGGCCGTTCTGAGGCCACCAGGTGGTCTTATGAGGTAGCCACTGGTCCACCGACTCAAATTACCCCGTGTCAGCAAAACATGGCTGAATCGGAGAAGACTTAAGCAGACGCGTAAATGCTTTGTTGACTTGGGGCTAAAGCGATTACTCCGGCTCAGGGCTGAGGCATGACGGCATAGCCACTTAGGGAAGTTTGCACAGGTGCTAGCTGTTCGGTAGCTAGAGGGTCCCTCTGACTATCAGGCCACAAATCTGTCACCTGTTACGAATGCTGCATGATTTTCATTCTGAATGTGCAATAATATCTCGTCGCCCTCTGGAGAATGCAGACTTCTGTATGGTGGCCAGCCTCCCAACCATTCACCTTGAGCTTAACAAAGTGCTGTCTAAGGCTAGGTCTACACTACCCGCCTGAATCGGCGGGTAGAAATCGATCTCTCAGGGATTGGGACGCAACAATCGATCCCCGAATCGATGTTCTTACTCCACCAGCAGAGGTGGGAGTAAGCGTCGTCGACGGGGAGCCGCGGAGGTCGATTTTGCCGCCGTCCTCACAGCGGGGTGAGTCGGCTCCGATAGGTCGAATTCAGCTACGCTATTCGCGTAGCTGAATTTGCGTATCTTAAATCGACTCCCCCTCCCCCGTAGTGAAGACCTGCCCTAAGGTACAGCTTCCCAGCACTAGAATTAGTTCCAGGAGGGCTGTCAGGATTTCTCTGGTCAAATAGAGTTCTGCATTTGGGAAGAATTAAACAATGATCTTTGCTTTGCTTTTCCCCTGTGTGTCTCCCCCACACCTGCCTGCCGTGTACTCTTGGTACAGTCAGCTAGTAAACACAGTGTTCCCACGGTACACGCTCAGCTGACTGATTCTGACCGGGATGGACATGTGAAGGCATGTTGGAGACTGGTATCTTTCCTAAACCCAGACAGAGAGCCTAGCTTTAAAGCTATCCACTGCCCCCCTCACACAGCGCTTTGAGAGAAAGGAAACAGTCCCGGAGATTAACGACGACTCCTCTCCTTTCTCTTCTAGGTAATGTCTATGCCACAGGTGTTAAGGAGAAAATTCAACAGTTCCCTTGAAATTGCCGGTAAGGCTTGTGTTCTCTGCTTGTGTCTGAGGAAAGGGTGGGGGTAATGTCGGACCCTGTGGGGACTCATGTCCCACACTGTGGGGGCTGCAAGTCACATCTGTCCGGCCTCCGGGCATGGTTTTCAACCAGGGAGCTGGTATGGCAAGTGCAGGGGAGTGGGATTTTAGAACTAGGCCTGCGGGATCCAGGAAAGGAAGTAGAGTCCGCTGGCCAGATTGAGGCAAAAGGCTAAAAATCTTCCTGGCTCCCTCCCAGCAGAGAACAGAATTCTGTCCTCTCCACTCCCCTAAGGCAATACAGATCGCCAGCATTCCCCCTCTTCCTCATGTCTACGGTATTTGCCCCTCCCCTGTTGGGTTTTTCCTCGATGTGAGCGTCTTTGCAGTCCCCGGACCGTCACCATTCTGACCTCTTCTCTAGGGGCAGGAGCCCAGCTACGCTACAGCTGCTAGAAGTGTCTCAGAAAAGACAAAGACCCAAAAGCTAGCCGCCATGGCCAAGCGAAGGGAAGGTCTCTGGTTATGTTAGGCCCTGGCCGCTGTCAGCAAGAGCCCTTAGGAAATGATTTTTCCACTTCTCTCTTATCTTGAATCATAAGCTTGCAGGCGGGATTGAAGAAAGAGCTGCTCTCCTTCTAGATAAGTGCTGAGCAGGGGAAGGAGTGGCGAGGAAAGGGAAAAGCAATCATTGAATACAGAGAACGAATTTACCATCCCTCTCCCTCCCCCCCGCCATTAAAAGCGAATTGCAAGGCACGTTTCCTGATCTGAATCTCACAGGGAGCGAGGTCCCTTCTCTCTGTTGGTGAGGAGGGGTCATCGGCTCTTCCCCCGAAAGGGCAGCTAGATAACTGGGGTGCTGCGCTCCGGGCATGCAGAGAGAGCGATGGGGCAATCCACTGACGTCAGGGCAGGAGGCTAATCCCCCAGGCGCCCCCACAGGGGAGCGGAATGACTCTGTATCTCCTCGCCACTCTCCCCACAGGTCAATGACGTGCAAGGGAGAATGCAGATAGAGGAAATTGGAACGAGGCGAGAGCGAATGGGAGATTATGTAGAGGTTCAAAAAGCTGCCTCGTTAAGCCCGGCGTTTCCGGGTCCGTAGGGATGTCGGGAGTTCAGAGGGGGACTTGCTGGTGCTAAGGACGTTTCCATTACACAGTGTACCATGCAGTCCCCCTCAATGCGGCGGGCTAACTAACGGGAGTTTATACTTTGCCCCCGTATGCCGCAGTGGAGACCAATAGGCCGGTCTGTGCCTCGCTGCGGCAAGAACCCCTGTAGCTGGGGTTTCGGATGCAGCCATGTACCACAAAAATGGGCCCCGCTCAGCCTGGCTGTAAGTGGGCCCAACTCTTTGGAAATCAGCCAAGTAGCATCTGCTTATTCCAAGGGGGATTTTGGCCCATTGTGTCCCTTTACCAAGGAATTGAAGTGATTAACCTGCTATTGGGAGCCTCCATGCCCAACATGGGGCCAGATCCTGGCCTGTGCTAAGGCTTCGGTGGTGCAGAGAGTCACTGAAGGTGACCGAACTGTGCAGCAGAGAATTCCTCCCAGCTCCTCCAGTGTAGGCAGGCATAACAGGGCTGGGTTGGGGACATGCCTGGAATGCACCATGATCTCTAGGCAGTGTAATGGCAGAGACGGGCTGAGCTGTTCTCAGGGGAGACAAAAAGCTCTTGTAAGGCTCCCTTTGCCGCTCCTCCCCACAGCTCCAGCACACCCAAGGACTTTCCTATCAGAAAGGTGTTTGCAAGGTCTGCCAAGAGCAGAACCACGCGAGAACCAGAGAGCCCACCAGCTGCTCTGCTCTGAGTGCAGGAAGGGAGAATTGCAGATGATACCCCGGCTTTGTCTGATGCTTTAAGCGTAGGAACCCGAGTCCGTGTTTCGGTGGTACTGCGGTTTTTATGCAGAATGTTGTGTTTTGTCTTTCTCCGTCGCTAAGAACCTCCTTGCAAACAGATTTAAAAGAAAAACGCTTGATCGTTTAAAATTCAGTGCACAGTCAGGATCAGAACAGCCGCGTTTCCTCCTGGATATCCCTTTTGAAGCCTGTCTTAGTTTGACAGAAACAAGTCTGTATCTCCGGCCCCGCTCCGGTGCCAGTGTAGCTGCTGAAGAACAGGCTGCATTCCATTCCGCTCCTATATCCGCTACATCCTCAGCTACTTTCTAGTGCCAGCCCCTTTCTGGTTAATGACGAGGCATGAGGCCGAGGGGCCGCGGCTCAATATTTAGCCAGCGGGTTGAGCTGGCAGTGCAGACCTTGCCTGATCTTGTGAACTGAGTAGATTTGCTGTGGGATCATTGCAGGAGAGTAAAGGCAGCCCTGCTTTCAAAGAGCAGCCATTGCTCTGACCAGAGTGATCCCGTAAAGACCTTGTGTAAGCAGAACCCAGCCGTAGCGGGTACGTGAGCCTTTGTCCTTTTGGGCAGAGGGCTCCTGAAAGCACAGCGCAAAAGATGCACCCCAGGGAGTGGATGGGCAAAGCTGGCACACAAGGGGCTTAAAACCAACTTATTTCTGGGCCGCTGCAGGGATCTGCTCTAAGCTCCAGCAGCCTCCCAAGGGCTGCCTAAGAGCTGTTCACAGCCCAGAATGGCTCTAGCAGCTAATCCACTCCCCATCCAGCCCAATACCTCTCCTCCGGCCTCCAGCCCCGGCACGCACCTCCGCAGGGCCTCTGAGGGAGGAGCAGTGGAGAGCCACTTACAGTGCCCGGTGCTGTTCCTCTGCCAGGCGAATTCTCCTTCCCCATCTGCGGTGCTCGGGTGGTCAGTATGTGCACCTCCCGCTGGTGCTGGTGGAGGATGGCTCCCAAGGAACCACAGCCCTGCCCCAGCACAACCCCCCCATGCCAGCTGAGGATCCCTCTGCTAGGAGAATCCCCAGCTGCTGCCTTGCAACAGTCCCATCTGTGCTGCAGGGGGCATGGGAGGGACAGAGGATCTGGCCCCGTGTACTTCTAATGCACCTGCCATGGTGCCTAGGTGCCCTGGTGTCTACTCTGAACAGCAGCAGTGAAGGTGACTGGACTAATTTGAGCACAAGTCAAGAGTTGCTGTTATTTCTCTGACTATCTCACTGAGTTTGATCAGGTCCCACCGCAGTCATGGGACCAGGTCAAAAGAGAAGCCACTGGCGTAAAGGCTACACAGATGCAAAGTCAAGGAGAACCAGGCCTTTAGCTGGGAGTTACATTTCCACATGCAGACAGTACAGTCCGGCTGTAAGACAGCCACATGGTGCTCTCACCTGTACCCTGAACACCCCTTGTCTATGCTGGCCAAGAACCTGTTCTGAGAAATTATCAAGCCACTATCAAGTAGCTGGACAAGCTACTGTAATAGATTCTGTGAAGCTGCCTCTCAAATGGTCTCCAAGGTGGATTCCTACCGTTTCCCTGAACGGGAAGAGGGGGGACGTATAAATATAAATCAGGAGTCACTGATAGAATAATGAGTACGCAGAGGCGAGCAGCTGGTTGAATTGTTCAGACACATTCAGGAAATGTAGATACTGAATTATGAATGGAAATAACAACAGTGGCTCAGTGAGTAATTGACACCTCTGACTGAGGTGGAATATGACCTGGCTCACGCGCTGTTCGCCTTGAATCTGAAGGGTCTAATTCTCTTCTGGTTTACAGGAGTGTAAATCGGGAGTAACTCACTGATTACACACCCGTGTAAAACTGCTGTGAGTCAGAGGAGACTCAGGCCCAGAGCAGGGCAAGGAAGCTATTTCAAAAGATCCAGGTGCATTTCTTGTCACCCAGGCGTGATCTTAGATCAACACCACCAACGTACGCTATTTTATCTTTTATTTTTGTAAAGACGGCGACGAATCCTTTGATCGAAACTCCATTTACCGAGGCTCTTTGACACAGAGGAACCCCAACGGGAAGAACAGGAAAGCAGATCGCATCTTCGCGGTAACCTTCCAGACTCTCACTTATTGACCCGACACGTGATTGGAGGGGTTTCAGTCAACCTGCAGGGGCAGGAAACCGATTAGAGCTGCCAGTCTCTGGTCTGGCTCAGCTCAGTGCAGCACCTGAGTGTGGGGGGGAGGAGTATGCAAAGAGGCCATTCCTGCAGCTGTGGGTCCGGTCCTGCTCCTTAGTGCCAGATGCCCCCCACACACTGGGGGTTGGAAGGAGCGGAGGGTTGCTTAGAGTTCTTGCCGATCGGCCATACAGGGTCTGGGCATTTTGCTACATCAATAAATTAGCACAGAAGTCTTAGCAAACTGTATTTCACCCCTCTAATGTTGGTCAAGACATTCCTGGTGCCTCCACGGGGCTCCACTGCTGAAACCTCTGAGACACCAATGGTGCCCAGAGACCAGCAACCACTCCTCTGTGGTGTGGTTCAGCCTGCCCACCCTTAGCCAGTGTGCGGTCACTGGAGCCTGCTAGGCAAGAAATGGAGCTGTTGAGTGCAGAGCTGATCTCAAGGCATCTGACTAGGTCAGCAGGCACGCACGAGACTATGACATGGGCATCATGAAAGGAGGCAGTTGGATCTTCCAGGGGTACGTCTCCCCAGGGAGCCGGGCTGGTGGCTTCATCTCCTGCTCTAGAAGGGGCAGCGAGGGCAGCCCATGGCGAGTGGAGATTGCAGGAGGAGAGGCACGCAGCTTGTTGGGAGAAGGGAAACAGGAAGCAAACAGCGCGAGTCCCGGGGCAAATGAGATTCGTATGTTCGATCCTGTAGCCCTGAGGTTTTCAGTTCAGTGTCTTGGTGCCTTGCAGAAGCCTGTGATGACCCATCGACCCTGAAGAAGATGGAGCCTCCCGACACTGCAATTTTACTAACAATGCCCGGCCTCAGCTCAGAGCTTCACCTTTATTTCCCTCAACACATTCTCCAAAGGGCTGGACAGAGAGGAGGAGGCAGTCCCATGGGACAGGGAAATCCTGCCAAGTTGTGCTGACAGAGCTCCGGCTCCACCTCGCTACTCAAGCAACCAAGTCCCAATAAGAATCTTGCTGCCTGTTCCTGACAGGGATTTCCAGTCCACAGTGTCTGGCAAAGCAGCCCCAGCTGTCACACCACACACCCACTATGTCTCTTCCGCAAGTCTCCATTGTTGTGAAACTAGGGCATCTGTCTGCATTTGAAAGCAGCGTTGTCAAGGCTGGTAGCTGTGAGAGTTAACTCAGGGGGCCAGATACATGCTGGGGGAGATTTAGGTTGGATATTAGGAAAAACTATTTCACTAGGAGGGTGGTGAAGCACTGGAATGGGTTCCCTAGGGAGGTGGTGGAATCTCCTTCCTCAGAGGCTTTTAAGGTCAGGCTTGACAAAGCCCTGGCTGGGATGATTTAATTGGGGATTGGTCCTGCTTTGAGCAGGGGGTTAGACTAGATGCCCTCCTGAGGTCCCTTTCAACCCTGATATTCTATGATTCTATGATAATTCTGGTGGCGTCAGTGGAGTGAGTTGCTTTCCTCTTGGGTTGGTGTAGAGAAGTCAGTGGTTGGACCCATCAGTATTCAAGAGTTTGCAGTGGATTTAAAGTGCCCGCTCCCCACTGCCTCGAATGGGGGTCACATGGCTAAAACCCAGCCCAACACTTTAAAAATGTGCTGCTAGACGTTTGCAAAGATCACTCCACAGTCAGTTGTCCAAGTTCTGTCCATTCACCCCTCTCCCCCCATGGGCAGGAGCGAGGGAAGCTTCCTAAAAGAGGGTTGGAGGTCACCTCAGTATTTTAAAATAACATTTAGTTTAAGAATGATCCATGTGAATCCTCGTGTGAGTAACATGTCATTGCATTAGGCTTCGGTCATGAGCGGAGGCAGGGAACTTCTCGAGATACGTCCTGCAGTCACCTAACATGGTAATTGCAATAGCTGTGGGCAGGACCCAGAGTTACCACGTCACAGGAAATTCTGTGCTTTTGGGCATTTTTTCCTTTCTGAAATGGAACGAAAACAAAATATTTTATCTCCAGTGAAACCAAATTCCAAAAAAAGTTTGGGGGTCAATCAAAACATTTCATTTCAATAAAACTGAAACATTTCATTCCCATTTCAATCTCAAAACTTTCAAATGTTTTTAGATAAAAAAAATTTTTTGGAAAAGTCATCTTGAACTGAAAAATGAAAATGTTCTAGTCCCAATATGTCAAAATTGGATGTTTCAACCTTATTAAAATACTTCTTGGGATGTGGAGAAAATTTATCAAAATCGACATGTTTTTCAAAACATTCTAATTTGACAAAATTTGCATTTTGGGGGGGGGGGGAAACAAATTTTGATGAAAAATTTCCAACTAGCTGTAGTTGTGACCAACTAATGGTATTTGTATCCTCAACCTACTGTTCTTATACTCTTGGACATGCTAGCTGAAATGAACCAATGTGACTTCTCCGCGGCTACTGCCTCATTTTTAGTATAATTCATACAGAAGCTACTTAAAGTCTCAGATTCCCTTCGTGACCCTTTAGAAGTCATTTCCATTCTCACTAGTATAGTCCAAGCTGAGATCTTGAGTTCTCTTTAAGTTGGCATAAGGCTAGGCTGTTCCGAGAAATAAGTATATCCGACTGTAAATAATTATCTCTATGTTAGAAACCAACTTCTAGCCACAACCATGTCATCACAGCACCCTGAAAAAAAATTAAATGACCAATTGTATATGTCTCACCACTGAGCTGACCTCAAGCATAACCCAGTGACCCAGATCCTCAGGTTGGTGTAAGGCAACTCAATTGAAGTCAATAGAATGATGCAGATTTAAACCAGCGGCCTGGTGTTTTTTAAAGCCACAGTACAGTACTACCTAGACTATAAACACATCCTCTGCTATGTGCAGTGTGACGGGTTGGATCACAGAAACCCCCTTGGGAACTGCCAACTGCTGTGCCAAGACTTCTGCCCCTGCTTTCCCTGCCAGCCTGGGACTCCAGCACCCTGTCTTGTTGAGCCAGACACGCCAGTCTACTCCAACACAGACCCAGGGTCTGAACCACGTGCCCCAAAGCTGCAGAGTTAACTGAAAGCAGCTTACAGAAGTGTTCCTGTCTTTAACACTCAGATGCCCAACTCCCAGCGGGGTCCAAACCCCAAATAAATCCGTTTTACCCTGTATAAAACTTATACTCATAAATTGTTTGCCCTCTATAACACTGATAGAGAGATATGCACAGCTGTTTCCCCGCCCCCCAGGTATTAATGCATACTCTGGGTTAATTAATAAGTAAAAAATTATTTTATTAAATACAGAAAGTAGGATTTAAGTGGTTCCAAGTAGTAACAGACGGAACAAAGTGAATTACCAAGTAAAATAAAATAGAACACGCAAGTCTATGACTAAGAAAACTGAATACAAATAAAACCTCACCAGTTCCAGTAAGCTTCCTTTTACAGACTAGTCTCCTAGTCTGGGTCCAGCAATCACTCACACCCCCTGTAGTTACTGTCCTTTGTTCCAGTCTCTTTCAGGTATCCTTGGGGGTGGAGAGGGTATCTCTTTAGCCAGCTGAAAACAAAATGGAGGGTTCTCCCAGGGGTTTAAGTAGACTATCTCTTGTGGGTGGAGACTCTCTCCTATGCAAAGTCCAGCTACAAGATGGAGTTTTGGAGTCACATAGGCAAGTCACATGTCCCTGCATGACTCAGTTTTTACAGGCAGCAGCCATGGCTTACCTGCTAGTCCTCATCTAGATTTCTTATGTGGATTGGAGCCTCCCAAGATCCATTGTCTCTTAAGTGCTTCTTGATTGGGCACTTAATTTGCACATTCCTTTCTCAAGAAGCTGACCAAATGCTTTACAAAGGCTACTTAGAAATCAAGCAAGTATACAGCCAATATTCCTAACTTCAAGTACAAAAATGATACATGCATACAAATAGGAGGAATAAATTCAGTAGATCATAACCTTTACATAGATACGTTACATGGCATATGTAGCATAAACATATTCCAGTTACATCATATATACATTCATAAGAGTATTCCCATGAAGCCTTATGGGGTACACCATCACACGCAGTTCCACCTTTAGTTCAGTACCAGGCTATCAGAATCTCATGAACCTTGGCAATGTAAAATAAGGCATTATTCAGACTCTAGCTTTCAGACCATTTTTATTTATCTGCTTTAATCCTCCTCTGTCTCTATATATCTGTACATATGTTAAATCTTACAATAAAGCCGATTTTGTGTTAGGAGATTCTAGCACCCCATTTTGCGTCTGTTTTCCTCCCTCTTGATCTTGGCAGAATTGTCTGCCTCTCCGCTGACTTTCCTCACTTAACCAGTCAGTGCAACTGCATCGTATTTGCAAAATGCAATTGTTAAAGTACAGGAAATAAGCTGTGGCATTGAAACAGAGGATTGGCCGGGAGGGGGGGAGGGGAGAGATACATTCATTAACCTGGCATGGATCACACGCCTGTGTTTTCACACTCATTCAGGAGCTACAGAGGAGACTTGTCAAACAATGCCCAATATCATACATGTCCTATTGGCTGCGTTTTGTTGTTTGGGTCCTGTGCTGTTGTGTTTTAAGCACAGGAGCTACAAATGGGATTGATGCATAAAAGGAAATAGGAACAGGAGAAATTCTTTATAACAACCCTCCCGCCCACCCCAACAAAAAAAGGTTTTATTTATTGGCGCATTAAGTCCTTTGCTCATTTGAATGGCCACACCTCTGCAAAGACCAAACAAATCCC